GTTTGCAAATATCTTCTCCCATTCCATCGGTTGCTTTTTAGTTTTGCTGACTGTTTCCTTCGCTGTGAAGAGGCTTTTTATTTTGATGAGGTCCCAATAGTTCATTTTTTATTTTGTTTCCCTTGCCTCCAGAGATGTGTTGAGTACGAAGTTGTTACGGCCAAGGTCAAAGAGGTTTTTGCCTGCTTTCTCCTCGAGGATTTTCATGGCTTCCTGTCTTACATTTAGGTCTTTCATCCATTTTGAGTTTATTTTGTTTTTATTTATTTTTGAGAAAGAGAGAGAGACAGAGCATGAGTCAGGGAGGGGCAGAGAGAGAGGAAGACACAGAATCCAAAGCAGCCTCCAGACTCTGAGCTGTCAGTAAAGAGCCCCATATGGGGCCTGAACCCACAATCCATGAGATCATGACCTAAGCTGAAGTTGAATGCTCAACTGACTGAGCCACCCACGTGCTCCTGAGCTCCTGTTTTCAATTCTAGTAGATATATATCTAGAAATGGAATTTCTAGATTATACGATAATGCTATGTTTAATATTTGGAAGAACCACCAAACCGTTTTCCACAGAGACTTCATCTTAACATTTTCACCAGCAATGCACAAGATTCTAATTTCCTACATCCTTCTCAGCACTTATTTCCCTTTCTCTAAAAAAATACACATTCTTTGGGCACCTGGGTAGCTCAGTCAGTTAAGCATCGGACTCTTGATTTCGGCTCAAGTCATGGTCTCAGGGTTCGTGAGTTTGAGCCCCACATCAGGCTCTGCACTGAAAGGGTGGAGCCTGCTTGGATTCTGTCTCTCTGCCCCTCCCTGCCTCTCTCTCTCTCTCTCTCTCAAAATAAACAAATAAACTTAAAATTTTTTTAAGTAAATAAATAAATAATACACATTCTAACAGGTGCAATGTTATCTTATTGTGGTTTTGATTTGCATTTCCCTAATGACTAGTAAATTGACTAACTTTTCATATTCTTATTCCATTTTGTATATCTTTGGAAAATATCTATTCAATCCCTTTGCTCATTTTTAAATTGGACCATTTATTTGGTTGGGGTTTTTTTTGTTGTTGTTGCTTTTGAGCCATAGGAGCTCTCTCTATATACTCTAGATCTTAATCCTTTATCAGATATATGATTTGCAAATATCTAGTTCTATTCTGTGGGTTTTCTTTTCACTATCTTGATAGTATTCCTTGCTGCACAAAGTTTTTAATTTTGGTGAAGTCTAATTTATTTTTTCTTTTGTTGCCTGTGATTTTGTTGTCAAAATTAATGCATCTTTGCCTAATCCAAGGTCATGAAGATTTTCTCCTACATTTTCTTCCAGAAGCGTTAGCTTTAGCTCATAAATTTAGATCTTTCACCCAGTTTAGTTTTAATTTTTGTATATAGTGTAAAGACCCAGCTTCATTTTTTTGCATGTGAATACCCAATTTTCCCAGGACAATTTATTAAAGAGACTTCTCTTTCCCCTTGAACTGTCTTCACACCCTTGTTGAAAATCAACTGACCATGGATGTATGCATTCATTTCTGGACTCTATTCTGTTCCATTGATCTATATATATAGATAGCCTTACACCAGTGCCATACTCTCTTAATCACTGTAGCTTTGTAGTAAGCTTTGAAATGAGGAAGTGTGATTCTTCCAAATTTGTTCTTTGGTTTCAAGATTATTTTGACTACTTTGGGCCTACTGAGATTCTATAGGAATTTCACAATAAGTTTTTCTATTTTTGCAAAAAAAAATGCATTTGTAATTTTGATAGGGATTGCATTGAATCTGTAGATCACTTTGGGGACTATTGTCATCTTTATAATAGTAAGTCTTTAAATCCAGGAAAATCTGATATCTTTCCATTTATTTAGGTCTTCTTTAATTTCTTCCAGCACTGTTTTGTACCCATCTGTGTACAAGTCACTTGCCTCCTTCACTAAATGTATTCCTAAGTATTTTAATATTTTTGATGTCATTGTAAATAGAATTGTCTTCTTTATTTTCTTTGGACTATTCATATCAGAGTATAGAAATACAAATGATTTTTCTGTGTTGTTTTTATACCCTGCAAACTTTCATATGTAGCTACAGACTAAAATACCAAGCAAAATAAGTCAGTCAGAGAAAAACAAATACCATATGATTTCACTCATATGTGAAATTTAAGAAATAAAACAAACAAGAGAAGGGAGGGGGAAGAGAGAAAGAGAGAGAGGCAAACCAAGAAACAGACTTAACTATAGAGAACTGATGATTATGTGAGTTAATTTTTTAGCTCTAACAATTTTTTGTGAACTTTTTTTTGTGATCCATTTTAGATCTTTTGTTTCGTTTTCTTGTCTAATTTCTCTGCTAGTACTTACAGTCTATGTGGGAAGAATTGGCAAAAATGTCTTATGCCTAATATTAGAGGAAAAACTTATATTCTTTCATCATTGAGTATCATGTGTATTTTTCATATATGGCCTTTATCACATAGAGGAAGTGCCTTTGTATTCCTAGTTTATTGAGTGTTTTTATCACAAAAGGATGTTAAATTTTAAAATAAGTTTTACTTTTAGTTGTAAAAAACACATATCAAAAATTACCATCCTAATAATTTTTTAAAATATTTTATTTTTACGTAATCTCTTCACCCAATGTGGGGCTCAAACCCACAATCCCAAGATCAAGAGTCGCATGTTCCACTGACTGAGTCAGGCACCCCATTCATCTTAACCATTTTTAAGCATACAGTACAGTAGTGTTGTTTATTCAGTGTTGTATAAGAGATATCTAGAACTTTCTCATCATGCAAAACTGAAATACTATACTCATTAAACAACAACTCCCTATTTCCTCTCCCCCTACCCCAGCCCCAGCCCCTGGAAACTACCACTCTACTTTGTTTCTCTGAAGTTGACTTTAGATACCGCTTATAAGTAGAATCATACAGTATTTGTTTTTCTGTGACTGGCTTATTTCATTTGGCATAATACCCTCAAGGTACATTCATGTTGTAGCATGTGATGGAATTTCCTTCCTTTTTAAGGCTAAATAATATTCCATTGTGTGTATATCCCACATTTCATTAGTCTATTCATCCATGGACACTAGCGTTGCTTCTGCCTCTTGGCTATTGTGAATAATGCTGCTATGAGCATGGTAAATATCTCTTTGAGACTTCCAATTCTTTGGGATATATAACCAAATATGAGATGCTGGGTCACATGGTACTTCTATTTTTAATTGTTTGAGGAACAGCCATACTGTTCTCTTACATTCCCAACAAGAAAATTGGATTTTCTAGCCAATATGCTAATCTCTGCCCTTTAATAAGAGTTTAATCCATTTATATTTAATGTGATTACAGATAAAGAATTAACCTCTTCTATTTAGCTATTTGTTTTTTGTGTCCTATAATTTTTTCCCCTCAATTCCTGCTTTCTTTTGGGAGTTAGTTTATTTTTTTGTGATGTTATATTTCAATTGCCTTCTTCATTCCTTTCTGTATATTTTTTAGTTCTTTTCCTTGTGGTTACTTTGGGAATTACAACTAATATTTTATTTCATTTCATTTCATTTCATTTCATTTCATTACATTTCATTTTATGTTTATTTTTGAGAGGGGGGCAGAGTGAGAGACAGAATGTGAAGTAGGCTTCAGGCTCTGAGCTGTCAGCACAGAACCCGAGGTGGGGCTCAAACTTACAAATCATGAGATCATGATCTGAGCCAAAGTCGAACACTTCACTGACTGAGCTACCCAGGCACCCCTACAACTAACATTTTAAACTTATAACAACCTAGTGTGATAATACCAACTTGATTTCAATAGTATGTAAACACTCTGCTCATATAAATCTGCACCCTCACCTATATTGTCACAAATTACATCTTTACCCATTGTATGTCCATTAACATAAATCTACAATTACTGTTTTATGTGTTGCCTTTTGAATCATATTGCAAAAAGGAATGAAGTTACAAACCAAAATTATAATAATATTGGTTTTTATATTTACCTATGTAGCCACCTTTACCAGTGTTCATTATATTCTTAAACTTTTGACTGTCTAGTGTCCTTTCATTTCAGCCTGAAGTACTCTCTTTAGCATTTCTTACAGGCAGATCTCTTAGCTTTTGTTTATCTGGACATATCTTTTATGCTCAAAGTATAGTTTTGTCAAATATAAAATTATCAATTGACAGTACTTTTATTTCAGGGCTTTAAATATGTCATATCATTTCATCTGGCCTCCATGATTTTTGAGAAGAAATCAGCCATTAATCTTATTGAGAATCCCTTGTAAATGATGAGTAGCTTTCCCCTTGCTGCTTTCAAGACTGTCTACTTGTCTTCGGGTTTCAACAATTTGACTATAATGTGTTTCAGTGTGAATCTGTTGCACTTATGCCTGGAGTTTCTAGAGCTTCTTGGACATATATAATCATCTGACTTGGGAAGTTTTGGGCCATTATTTCCTGAAATATATTCTCTTTCCCCCTGCCACCAACTCTTCACCTCCTGGGATTTCTGTAATATATATGTTGATACACTTGATGCTGTCTCACAGATGTCTCATCCTCGGCTCATTGTTGTTTGTTTTTTTTTTTTCTTTTTTTCTTTCTGCTCCTCAGACTAAATAATTTCAATTGTCCAAGTTCAAATTTACTTATATTTACTTCTGCCTACTCAAATCTACTCTCAAATCCCTCTAATGAGTTTTTCATTTTAGCTACTGTACTTTTCAACTCTAGAATTTTTTTGGTTCCTTTTTATAATTTGTTTCTTTAATATTCTCATTTTTTTCAAACATTGTTTTCCTGACTTCCTTAAGTTCTTTATCTCTCATTTCCTTAACTCATTAAAGGCAGTTAACATATTGAAGACAGGCTCCTATTGCCCATTCTGGCACCAGCAAGCTACACTGAGAATGCAGGCTGCCTACTACTTGGCTATCTGCTATGGGGCGGGGGATGGAGCGTGGCAGGATCTACATGAAACACTAAAACTCACCAAAATTTACCAGTCTCTTCAAGCATTCCTCTGGGCAATGCAACCGTTCAACTAGAATCCAAGGTTCCAAAATAGTTGCTTAAGATACTTCTTGGCAGTTCAATTGTAGCACTGATGAAGAGACATATTTCTGGAGCTTCTTACCCCACCATCTTCCTTCCAGGCCTTGGTTTTCTCAAATGTTACTTGCGATACTTAGATCAATGAGTCCCAAATAGAATCACCTGGAGAGCTTTAAAACTACTGGTGCAAATATCTCATCCTATGCTGAAGAATCTGATCAGGCATCTTTTCAACAACCTCCCCAGGGGATTCTCATGCTCAAGTAAGGCTGAAGACCTGGGGAAAAGGTTTATCTCAGCCTCAGGACCTCGCCATCTCTACTGCTATAGAAATCTCCTGGGCACCTTGTCAGGCAGATGTGATACAGCTGGTCTGAGGTGGAGTCTGACTCAGCACTTGCAATAACTCCCACATGGAGGCTCTGCTGCTGCTAAAGGGACCCCCCCTTTGAGGGGAACAATCCTTTCCAACTGTTTATCTTCTATGCTTTGCTTAATTTGCTGGGACTCTGACACTTCAAAGAACTGGTTCCAGCTTCAAGGCAAGCACGTTCCCTCCCACCAAAGCATCAGGTTATCTGAGAGACAACTGTGGACAAGGGAGAGATTCTTCAAAGACAGCCTGATGACTTCACACGAGGAGATTTCTTACCAAATAGTTTAGCCAAATGCTCTTCTTGATTTGAACTTGATACAAATTCAGTATTTTTCAAGCTCTCTTTTTGAGGATAACCTATGGGAAAATAAACCTTAGCTGTGTGAATCATTCATTGGATCTACATGAAACTTTTTTTTAAGTTTATGTATTTATTTTGAGAGACAGAGCACAAGCGGAGGGGGAGGGGGAAGGCAGAGAGAGAGAGAAGGAGAGAAATAATCCCCAGCAGGCTCCATGCTGTCAACACAGAGTCCAACACAGGGCACAATCCCATGAACTGTGAGATCATGACCTGAGCCAAAATCAAGAGTCAGACACTTAACCAACTGAGCCACCCAGGTGCTCCAACATGAAATCTTTTTAAATCAATACTTCTTTGCATGGTATTTTAGGCGGAGCATCATGCACTTTACCTACTTTAGGAGAAAAAGCATAAGTTTTGGGTTCTAGTCCACCTTTTGAGTGTCTTGTGACCTTGGGCAGTAAAGTTCTGTGGAATTTGGTTTTCTCATCTGTGACTGGTGGAAAAGGAGCCAGCCACAAGAGGCCTGTGAGGATTGGGTAAGATGAAATTTGCTTATGTCATCTGTAGACTGAAAAGTATTCTCCCTTTATGATGTCCCAGTGTTATTATCTACTATGAAGTGCAATAAATGGCACTGGGTCCAAGCCTGGCTATGCTCAATGCTGTTTTGCCGAGGCAGGGGGCAGGGTGGGGAGAGGGCAGAGAGGAGAAATGACAGACAGATGGACACTTATCTCAGTGTCTTCTCAACAAAAACTTTCCCCTCCATAGGAAATGATGTCAACAAGCAATGACTTTGACCATCTTGGAAATGGGATGCCTTCTTGTTTTGGAAAACAGGGAACAATACTACTGCATACTCAGCCCTAATCCACATCTATGTTTGGAGGGGGCTCAGAGGGCCTGAGGCCACCTCTACCTGACCTATTGGATAAGCACCAGGAATTCCTAATGTTGTCACTGATGAATAAAAAATGAAGGTATAAATGGAAAAGCACTGAGTCAACAATGACTACTTTGATTCAATAAGTGAATAATGTGCAGTTCTCTGGTGATGAAACATTGGTGAATTCAATGCACTTTGTTAAAAATGTGTTCCTCATATTGTGTCAGCCAAGGGAGCATTATGCACATATGCCCCAAATAACATTATGCACCCTGCCCCATCATGACTACACAGTAAAATATTCACTTTAATCTGTGGTTTGTGAAATGCATGGGGAGGACTGTTAGCTCTAAAAATGGTTTGCTAATAGTTTCATAATTTCAACGTGGCATACATGCCTGGCTTATCCTGATAAATAATTATCCAATTTAAATTTTTTTCCTAATGCACACAGTGCCACATTAAAGTTTCTCTGTCACCTGTGTGATTTAGGTTAATGTACATGTTTTTCCCATGTGACCAGCTTCTTCCTCTCAGCTTTGGCATTTGAGCATCAGTCCAAAGGGAGAAAGTGGCTCTGTCTCTTTGTGCAAATATTTTCCAGAGGCTAGGGTGTAGGGTGGGGAGATGTGGGGAGGGATGTGAGAAGGCTTTACTATCCCAAATCAATGACCAGGGCACTCGTGAACATTGAACTATAAAGTGCTGTTGAATAGAAAGTCATTACACTACTCACAGCAAGTGTTACCAGGAAAAGTGAACACCACTTGCAAATCTGGTTCTCATCCTCTGAACAGCCTGCAGAGTGAGAGAACCTCCCTGACACATGAACTTCAGAGATCACCCCCAAAATATAGTGATATTTGTACTTTAGACCACAGACTTCCATAGTTGGCAGAAGGTCATAGAGAGTATTGGACAATGTTTTCTTCCACATCTCAGTTTGGTTTTGCCCCTACATACCTTGGTTAAGAATGTTAAAATGATAGGGTAGTACAAATAATACAACACATAGGTTTTATAAGTATGTACACTTATAATTTTAAAGGCATATACTTGCTTTCCTTAACTTCTCTCTTTGTAATTGACTTGCCTGCTGTTCTTGTATCATCAAATGGAACTTTGGAAAACACTTGCAGTTGAATTTCATCTCAAGTGAAGCAAAGAAAGGCATGTTAATACCAGCAGTCCAGGAAAAGTACCTAAAGTAGTCTATGAAATCAGTGAATAAAGGATACAAATGCAACAGACACATAATGTTATACTCTAAAATGCCTTGTCTTAAGAAGGAGAATTTAATCTACCTAAATCATTTCTGAAAAATTGAGATTTCACTAGATATTCTAGAAGGAAACATTACTTACTATGGATATGAGACTAGAAATTTTGCCCCAAATCTCATGATATTTAATGTCATGGTTTTTCTTTTTGCTCCTGTTGTCCTTCTCCCCACCTCTGAAACTGCCCCCAAGCAGTCCCTCTGTACGAACAAACCTCTTTCTTATTTCCACAAGATCCGCATTATTTTCTTCCAGTAAGACCTACTACCACTTGTAGGAAGCTTCTCATAGTGAAGATCCTGTTTTGTGGCAGACACATCTAGACCCACATTCTGATTTTGTTGTTTGCCAACAGGTGATCTTGGGCAAATAACTCCATTTCTTTGATCTTCATTTCCCTCACTGGTAGGATAAAGATATGATTGTTTGACTCATAGAGGTTTTGTGAAAATTGAATAAAACAACATATGTGAAAACAATAGTGTCGGTGTGAGGATCATCCTAAAGGCCAAATATCTGGAAACTGCTAATCATCATCTTATTTGTAACAATAACCCCTGATCCACTAGTAAATATTGCTTGTTTTCTGCTCATTGGAATCAAGCACAAGTGGAGTAATATGTGGAGAAGGAAGAAAAAAGACATTAAATACAAAGGAAACAAAGATGCCATTAACATATGACAGGAAAAAGGATATCTGTCACAGATTCTGTAGCATTCCATCACCAGCCAATTTTGCCTCCATTGGGCCTAGTAGTGATTAGAACTCAGGGACCAGCCCTTGGAAAGACACTTCCTTTCCAGCCTCCCTGGCAGCCAGGGGAGGGCTATGGGACACACAAAAGTCCTCTGGAGACTCCTGGAACCCTGGAAGAATCTTACTAGAGAGAAGAAAATGTAATGCTGGGGCTGTACTTCCACATCCCTTTTATCTCCTACCTTGAAAGCAGATATGATGTCTGGAGCTGCAGAAGCCATCTTATATACAAGAGACACAAGCACTAGTCAAGGCTCTGACCAAAGTCACTGAGCGTGGCACCAGCTTGCTTCCCTCAGACTGTTTGGAACAGAAGGAAAATAAACTCCTCCTCCTTGTTTAAGCCACTAAATTCAGATACTTCAGTTATTGCAGCCAAGTTTAAGGCAACACCTGAATGCGTCTCACTGAGATGATCCTGGCCACTCAGATTTGATGACCCATTATTATATGGAAGAACCAAGCATAAGTTCCTAAAATTCATAATGCCTGTGTACACTGGGACAAAGTGGAAGACTATGGATCATTTGTACAACTTTTTACCAAGCCCTAGCTCTACTCAGAAACCACACAAGGTGCTGGAGCTTCAAAGAGGATGGAGAGAGTGGCATCACAAAAATGGTGACATAGGAGATCATGGTCTCCATCCTCTGACACAGATTAATAATTATACAGCTATCTATGAACAAAAACAGCCCTGAGAGAGTTCCACCTCAGAAACTTTAGCAACACATGGAACAACAACAACAAAAAAAACCCTAAGATAGTCGCATAAAAAGAGAAGGAAGACTGGGGTGCTTGGGTGGCTCAGTCAATTAAGGATCTGACTCTTGATTTCAGCTTAAGTTATGATCTCATGGTCATGATCTCATGGTCTTGAGATCAAGACCCATGTCTGGCTTCATACTGGGCATGGAGCCTACTTAAGATTCTCTCTCTCCCTCTGCCTCTCCCCTGCTCGTGAGAGAAGGAAGACAGCTTCATTTTGTCTGCATCATCCCACATCCTAAGCTGGCAGAGCTCAACATCAAGAGGGAACTTCCCAGCTAGAAAGATTTCCCCATGCCAGGAAAGGAAGAGCACAGTGAGCAATCAGCTTTTCCCAATCTCAACCATGGACAGATCAACTAGACAGAAAAAGCAACAAGGAAATGTTGGACTTGAACCATATTTTAGACCAAATGTACCTAACATACATATACAGAGCATTCCATCCAACAGCAGCAGAAAACACATTCTCCTGTGGCATCTGGGTGGCTCAGTCGGTTAAGCATCTAACTTCAGCTCAGGTCATGATCTCATGGTTCGTGAATTTGAGCCCCGCATCAGGCTCTCTGCTGTCAGCACAGAACCCACTTCAGATCCTGTGTCACATTCTCTCTCTGCCTCTCCCCCACTGGTCTTCTCCCTCTCTCTCTCTCTTTCTCTCTCTCTCAAAAATAAACATTTAAACAAACAAACAAAAACCCTACATTCTTCCCAAGTACACACAGAGCATTATCCAGATTAGATCATATATTAGATCACAAAACAAGTCTTAGCAAATTTAAGAAGATTGAAACCATACCAATGATTTCACGGTGACCACAAAGGTATAAAACTAAAAAACAATACCAGGAGGAAAGCTGGAAAATTCACAAATATGTGGAAATTAAACAACACAGTCCTGGGGGCACCTGGGGGCCTCAGTTGGTTAAACATCTGATGTTGGCTCAGGTCATGATCCCATGGTTCATGGGTTTGAGCACTGCATCAGGCTCTGTACTGACAGCTCAGAGACTGGAGCCTGCTTCAGATTCTGTGTCTCCCTCTCTCTCTCTGCCTCTCCCCTGCTCATTCTCTCTGTCTCCTTCTCTCTCTCTCTCTCAAAAATAAATAAGCATTAAACACACACACACACACACACACACACACACACACACACGCACGCGCACACATACACAGTGCTAAACAACCAATGGGTCAAAGAAGAAATCAAAAGGGAAGTTTAAAAAATCTTGAAACAAACAAAAATGGAAACACAACTTACCAAAACTTATGGAATGCTATAAAAACAGTTCTAAGAGGGTAGTTTATAGCAATAAATGCCCACATTAAGAAAAAAATAAAGATTTGAAATAAACAACCTGACTTCATATCTCAAGGAACTAGAAAATGAAGAACAAGCTAAGCCCAAAGTTTGAAGAAGGAAAGAAATAACAAAGATCAGGGGAAAAATAAATGAAACAGATACAAGAAAAATAATAGAAAAGATAAACAAAAGTAAGAGTTGGTTTATTAAAAAGATACACAAAATTGGCAAATCTTTAGCTAAACCAAGGAAAACATTGAGAAGAGTCATCTTAAATGAAAGAGGAAACATTACAACTGATACCACAGGATCATAAGACTACTATGAACTATTATACCAAAAAATTGAACAACCTGGAAGAAATGGATAAATTCCTAGAAACAAACAATGTACCAAGACTGAATCATGAAGAAATAGGAAATCTTAACAGACCAATAATGAGTAAGGAGATTGAATCAATAATCAAAATCTCCCCAGCAAAGAAAAAACCCAGGACCAGATGGCTTAACAGGTTAATTCTACGAAACATTTAAAGAATAATTAATACCAATCCTCCTCAAAAAAACTGAATAAGAGGAAACACTCCCAAACTCACTTTACAAGACTAGCAAAGCCAAATAATACATGAAAAGCCAGATAAGAAAACTACAGACCAGTATCTCTGATGAATACAAATGCAAACTTCTCAACAAAATATTAGCAAACAATTAAAATGCACATTAAAAGGATCATACACCATAATCAAATGGAATTTATCCATCAAATTCAAGGATGATTCAACATATGTAAATCAATAAATGTGATATACCACATTAATAGAATGAAAGGTGATCATATGGTCACCTCAACAGATGCAGAAAAAAACACTTGACAAAATACAACATGCTTTCATGATAAAAATGCTCAACAAATTGAGTGTAGAAGTAACATACCTTAACATCATAAAGGCCACATATGACAAGCCCACAGCTAACGCCATATTCAACAGTGAAAGTTGAAAGCTTTTCATCTAAGGTCAGGAACAAGAGAAAGGTGCTGACTCTCATCATTCCTATTCAACACAGTACTGGAAGTGCTAGCCAGAGCACTCAGGCAAGAAAAAGAAATAAAAGTCATCTAAATCAGAAAAGAAAGAAGTAGGGGCACCTGGGTGGCTCAGTCAGTTGAGCGTCCAACTTCGGCTCAGGTCAGGATCTCACGGTTCATGAGTTCGAGCCCCACATAGGGCTCTGTGCCGACCGCTCAGGGCCTGGACCCTGCTTTGGATTCTGTGTCTCCCTCTTTCTCTGCTCCTCCTCCTCTGCTCATACTCTCTCTCTCTCTCTCAAAAATAAATAAAGATCAAAAAAATTTTAAAAAAAAGAAAGAAGTAAAATTATCTTTGTTTGCAGATGATATAATCTCATACAGAGAAAATCCTAAAGACTCCACCCAAAAACTGTTAGAAATAATCAATGAACTTAGTAAAGTTGCAGGATACAAAATCATAGAAATCAGTTACAATTCTATATACTAACAATGAAGCATCTGAAAAGAAAAAAATCTCAGGGCGCCTGGGTGGTTCAGTCGGTTAATGGTCCAACTTCAGCTCAAGTCATGATCTCATGGCTTCTGAGTTGGAGCCCCATGTTGGGCTCTGTGCTGACAGCTCAGAGCCTGGAGCCTCCTTCAGATTCTGTGTCACCCTCTCTCTCTGCCCCTCCCCTGCTCATGCTCTCTCTCTCTCTCTCTCTCTCAAAAACAAATAAGCATTAAAAAATTTTTTTAATAAATAAATAAATAAATAAAATCTGCTTTAAAAAAAGAAAAGAATCTCATTCACAATAGCATTAAAAACAATGAAATACTTAGAAAAAATTAACCAAAGACGTGAAAGATCTATACACTTAAAACGACAAGACTTTGGTGAAAAAAAGTTGACAAAGACACAAACAAATGGAAAGATATCCCATGTTCATGGATCAGAAGAATCAATATTGTTATAATGTCCGTACTATCCAAAGCCATTTATAGATTTAATGGAATCCCTATCAAAATCCCAATGACAGGAGGCCTGGGTGCCTCAATCAGTTAAGCGTCTGACTCTTGATTTTGGCTCAGGTCATGATCTCACAGTTTGTGGGATCGGGCCTCATTTGGGCTCTGTGCTAACAGCGTGGAGCCTGCTTGGGATTCTCTCTCTCTGTCTCTGTCTCTGTCTCTGTCTCTCTCTATGCCTCTCCCCGACTTGCTCTCTCAAAAAAAAAAAAAAAATCCCAATGGCATTTTTCACAGAAATAGAAAAATCAATTCTAAAATTCATCTGGAACCACAGAACACCCTGAATAGCTAAAGCAATTCTGAGAAAGGAACAATCCTGGAGGCACCATACTTCCTTCTTTCAAACTATACTACAAAGCCTTAGCAATCAAAGAGTATTGTATGGCATAAAAATAGACACATAGATGGGGCGCCTGGGTGGCGCAGTCGGTTAAGCGTCCAACTTCAGCCAGGTCACGATCTCGCAGTCCGGGAGTTCGAGCCCCGCGTCAGGCTCTGGGCTGATGGCTCAGAGCCTGGAGCTTGTTTCCGATTCTGTGTCTCCCTCTCTCTGCCCCTCCCCCGTTCATGCTGTGTTTCTCTCTGTCCCAAAAATAAATATTGAAAAAAAAATTTAAAAAAAAAAGACACATAGATTAAGGGAATAAAACTGATAGCCCCCAAATAAACTTTGCATATATAGTCAACTCATATTTGACAAGAAACCAAAAAAAAAAAAAAAAACCTCAATGGGGAAAAGATAGTCTCTTCAATAAATGGTGTTGAGAAAACTGAATAGCCACATGCAAAGAATGAAAATTGACCATTATCATACACATCTCACACACAAAAAAAAATTACTCAAAATGGATTAAAGACTTAATAACTGAAACCACGAAATCCTAGAAGAAATCATAGGAGAAAATTTCCTTGACAGTAGTCTTGGCAACAATTTTTTGGACATGATATCAAAAGCACAGGGAACAAAAGCAAAACTAAACAAGAGGGACCATATCCAACTACAAAGCTTTTGTACAGCAAAAGAAAATATCAACAAAATGAAAAACAGAATGGAAGAAAATATTTGCAAAGCATATATCTGATAAGGGATTAATATCCAAAATACATAAAGACCTCATACAACTCATAGAAGAAAAATAAACAATACAACTTTTAAATGGTCAGAGGAATTAGATGGACATTATTCCAAAGAAGACATAAAAATGGTCAACAGATTCTTGAAATGATGTCGACATCACTTATCATCAGGGAAATGCAAATGAAAGCCATATTCTCACACCTGTGAGATTGGCTATCATCAAAAAGACAAGAAATAACAACTATTCATGTGGATGTGGAGAAAAAGAAACCCTTATGCACTGTTGGTGGGGATGTAAATTGGTACAGGCTCCATGGGAACAGCATGAAAGTTCCTCCAAAAGTTAAAATAGAACTATCATAGGATCCAGCAATCCCACCTCTGGGTATTATCCAAAGGTAATGCAAACAGGATCTCGAGGAAATATCTGCATTCCTATGTTCACTGCAGCATTATTCACAATTGCCAAGATATGGACACAATCTAAGTGTCTATCAATGAATGAATGGATAAAGAAGAGGTGAGATAGATACAGATATAGATCTATAATGAATATTATTCAGCCATGGGAAATACTGTCTTTTGCAACAACATGAATGGACCGTGAGGGCATAATGCTAAGTGAAATAAGCCAGAGATACACAAATACTGTGTAACTTCACTTACATATAGAATCTAAAAAACTCAAACTCATAGAAACAAAGTAGAATGGTGATTGCCAGGGCCTAAGGGGTGGGGAAAATGGGAAGGTACTGATCAAAAATTACAAACTTCCAGTTACAAGATGAACAAGTTGTGGGGACCTAATGTATAACATTGTGTTTATAGTTAATGATACTGTATTATATACTTGAAAGTTGTTAAGAGAGTAGATCTTAAATGTTCTCACCACAAAAAAGAAATAATTATGGGATGCAGTTGGAGGAATTAGTTAATACTACAGTGTTAATAATTTTGCAATATATATGTATATCAAATCACCATGTTTACACCTTAAACTTATACAATGTTATATGTCAATTGTATCTCAATAAATGTGGGAAAGGATACATAAAGTAGTAACGAAATTTTTGTGAACCATTTATCACTGTGAGCCATATAGCATTGTTTGAGGGTAAAATGTGGCCCATGTTCAAAGTAACAGGACTGAAATAAACATTTGGAACTCAAACTGTACAAAGAAATATAGGGGTGCCCGGGTGGCTCAGTCGGTTAAGGGACCGACTTAGGCTCAGGTTGTGATCTCGCGGTTCGTGAGTTCAAGTTCTGCATAGGGCTCTGTGCTGACAGCTCAGGAGCCTGGAGCCTGCTTCGGATTCTGTGTCTCCCTCCCTCTCTGCCCCTCCCCAGCTCATGTTCTGTCTTTCTCTGTCTCTCAAAAAAAATAAACGTTAAAAAAAAAAAAAGAAATGTATAATGGTTGACTTATAGATAGTAGGCACTGAATGGTTAGATATTTTAAAGAAAACACAAACAAAGCAGACTGAGACCTGCTGCCTGGTCTGCACCCCTGAGCCATCCAGGCACATGGGAGAGACAGAAGTACACACAGACACAACCGAACACACTGACACAGCTGCACAGAACAATATGACAAGCTGGAAAACCAGCTCAGCTCAAGGCAGCCAGAAGGCAGGCAGTAGGCTCAGCAGACTGAGAAGTAGTGGGCCCTGCCAGGTGAGCTCTGGATCCAGTTAACCATGATATTTACTGAGTCACTCCTGTACATAGATATCGGGCGTCAGTAGACTACACTCTGGTGCCATAGTGATGTCAGCAATCCAAATGGGTCAGTATGTGACATGCAGGGACTAGCTTCCTGGGACACTAACTGGATGAGCTGCAAACATCATAAAAGTCTTTGAGGTAGTCCTGGAAGGGCTGCTGCAGACTGAGATCCCACATGACACATCCTGTGCCTCAGAGAAGAACCTGCAGTGAGGGAGGGGCTGACCCAGAAAATTCCAAGTCTCATCAGGACTTCCCAGGACATGACAAACCCCAGGGGCAAGGCTATCCCCAGACAGTTTCAAAATTCATTTATAAATGTTGTGTATGAAAAGTGTATCTATAAAAATTGGGTGGAGCCTGGGGAGGACAGGGAGAATAACAGATTGCATAAGTTCAGAAAACTCTTCCCTTATAAAACTGTTAGTAATTTTTCATAGTTATATATTTTTGAAATATTAGTTTTATTTATTTATTTATTTATTTATTTATTTATTTATTTATTTATGTAGAACGCTTCAGGCCCAGCATGGGGCCCAACGTGGAGCTAGAACTCACGACCCTGAGATCAAGACCTGAGCTGGTTGATACCAGACTCTTGATAGAGTCTGATGCTTAACCAACTGAATCATCCAGGTGCCCCAAGTTTTCCTCCTTTTTAAAAGATAGTTTCTATCTGTCCCTTGGGGACGTTTTATTTTTCCCTTCTAAGTTTACTTTGCTAGGCCACAGAAAATAATCATCACAAATTCCATTGATGTGGCATTTATTGAGTCCTTTTCCTTTCTTTTTTTTTTTTTTAATGTTTATTTATTTTTGAGACAGAGAGACAGAGCACAAGTTGGAGAGGGGCAGAGAGAGAGGGAGACACAGAATCTGAAGCAGGCTCCAGGCTCTGAGCTGTCAGCACAAAGCCCAATGTGGGGCTCAAACCCACAGACTGCAGGGGCGCCTGGGTGGCTCAGTTGGTTAAGCCTCAGATACCTTGTCAGGCACCTTGTCAGGCAGATGTGATACAGCTGGTCTAAGATGGGGTCTGACTCAACATTTGCAATAACTCCCACATAGAGGCCCTGCTGCTGCTACAGGGACCCCCCTTTGAGGGGCACAATCCTTTCTAACTGTTTATCTTCTATGCTTTAATTTCCTGGGACTCTGACACTTCAAAGAACCAGTTCCAGCTTCAAGGCAAGCACGTTCCCTCCCACCAAACCATCACGCTATCTGAGAGACATCTGTGGACAAGCATGAGACTCTTCAAAGACAGCCTGATGGCTTCACACGAGGGAGGTACCTACCAAATAGTTTAGCCAAACCTTCATCCAAATTTTTTGAACTTGATGAAAATTCAGTATTTGAGCCTGTGGGGAAATAAACTTCATCTGTAATTAAATCTTTCATTTGATCTGCATGTATTTTTTAAAATTAATTTATTTTTGAAAGAGAGAGCGTGTGTGCATGTATTCTTAAATCAATACTGCTTTGCATGGTATTTTGAGGGGAACATCATGCACTTTACCTGCTTTAGGAGAAAGAGCACCACACTTGGGTTCTAGTCCACCTTTTGAGTGCCTTGTGACCTTGGGCAGTAAAGTTCTGTGGGATTTGGTTTTCTCATCTGAGACTGGTAGGAAAGAAGCCAGCCACAGAGGCCCGTGAGGAGGGGGTAAGATGAAATTTGCTTATGTCATCTGTAGACTGAAAAGTGCTCTCCCCTTATCGTGTCCCATTGTTATCTACTCTGAACTGCAATAAATGGCACTGGGTCCAAGCAGGGTTATGCTCAGTGCTCAGTTGTTTGTTGTTTTTTGTGGGGGGGGGGGGGTGCAAAGACAGATGGACACATATCTCAGTGTCTTCTCAACAAAACTTTACCCTCCATAGGAAATGATGCCAAAAAGCAATAACTTTGACCATCTTGGAAATGGGATGCCTTCTTGTTTTGGAAAACAGAGAACAATACGACTGCATACTCAGCCCTAATCCACATTAGGGTCTATGTTTGGAGGGGGCTCAGAAGGCCTGAGACCACCTCTACTTGACCTGTTTGAAAAACACCAGGAATTCCTGATGTTATCACTGATGAATAAAAAAATGAAGGTATAAATGTAAAGGCGTGGAGCCAACAATCTCCCCTAGGCCATCATGGACTGATTTCAAGACTTCTGCTGACACTCATGTGACTACATCAAGGATATGGATTAATTGTAGCTAAAAGACTGTAAAAAACTCATGGAATTTTGAACTATATTTTCAGGCTTTCCTTTATGAACATTGTGACATCTTAGTGTCTACACAAATCTTCTTGATTCTAGGTCAAGGCCAGCCCTTTATTCTGGCCTCGGGGAAGTGGCAAACCACCAAGGAAGAGACACTTATCCCCTAACGAAGGATTTTCGGGACCATAGCACCCACCTACTCAGAGTACCTCAACATTCATAAAGTATCTGCAAGAATCTGAACTTCTTACAGCCAGTGACAATGCTGATTCTCACCTGGTTTCCTGACAGAAAATGTGCATAGCCATTGAGTAATTTGTGCACATGGCATCTTTCAACTCTACAGGAAAATTGGTAATCAGGTAGTTAATGGTGCATAGACATTACTTCAGGGTATAATGCTTTTTGGTAAATGAAAGAAGTAAAAAGTTCTCTTTTGTTGAGATATGAGTGAATCATTAAGAACAAATATGATGGAAGTGTAAGTAAGTCCATGCAGTAAAACATTTGTTCACAAAAACGCTTTGGTTTTTTTTTTTTTTTTTCAACGTTTATTTATTTTTGGGACAGAGAGAGACAGAGCATGAACGGGCAAGGGGCAGAGAGAGAGGGAGACACAGAATCGGAAACAGGCTCCAGGCTCTGAGCCATCAGCCCAGAGCCCGACGCGGGGCTCAAACTCACGGACCGTGAGATCTTGACCTGGCTGAAGTCGGACGCTTAACCGACTGCGCCACCCAGGCACCCCAAAACGCTTTGGTTTTTAAAGCACCCTGACAAGGGTGGTCACCTTCTCCCCTTTTCCCAATGTCACCCCTGACTGACAATTTGTACAATGCACCTACTGTCCTTTTTGCTTCTCTCCACAGACTCAGGATCTTTACACTGAGAGAATTTGCCAGAATGCTGTCAGCTAATTTGTTGAGTAAATAGCAAAAGTGGTTCCAAATGCAGTGAAACCTTAAAAATAGAGTATGTAAATCTAATGTTCACTTTGAAAACTCTATATTCATAAAATGTTCATAACAGCATTATTCAGATAGCCAAAGTGTGGAAACAACACAAATGCCCATTGAATTATAAATGGATTAACAAACTGTGGCACATCCATATAATGGAATATTATTTAGCCATAGAAAGGAATGAAATACTGATGTAGGCTACAATGCAGATGGACCATGAAACATGTTAAGTGAAAGAAGCCAGTCACAAAATATCACATGTATGAACTATATTTGAACTATCAAGACTATTTGAACTATATTTGAACTATCAAGATTTGAAAATATCAAGACTAGACAAATCCATAGAGCAGTCAGCAGATTAGTGATTGCCAGGGTCTGTGGGAAAGAGGGCATGGGAGTGACACAATGAGTGTGATAGTACTTTTGGGGTGATGAAAATGTTCTAAAATTAGTGCTGATTCACAACTCTGTGAATATACTAAAAACCACTGAATTATATACTTTAAAAGTGTAAATTTTATGATATGTGAATTATATCTCAAAAAAGCTGTCATTTAAAATGTAGTGCGGGGGCGGGGGATAGATGAAACAAGATCAGCCTAATTGGTACATAGAGGCTCATGCTAATTTTTCTACTTTTGTTTATGTTTGAAAAACTTTATAACAAAAAGCTCAATGTACATGTGGGCTACCCTCCCATAGAGGTCTTTTGAGAAAGCTTCAGTTAAGAAAAATGTTAAAGTTACTCCCTTATGGGCAAGAGGTCCCTACGGTAGATTCAGGGAGGTAAGGAAGATAGAGGTGGGGAGAAACCCTGTGTTCACCATTCCAGAACTCATGGGAGGAAAACACCATTTCCTGCCTGATTTAGGCTCACAGTGAGTCTCTCACTTGTGTATCTGCCACTACATTTGTGACAGTACCTTCGATCAGATGGAAAGGGTAGAAGCTCTGTACCTTGCCAACAGTCCAGGAAGAGAACAAAGAAGAGGGTCTCCACTCCTGTCCTCTTTGCCATAGTCTGTATATCTCTTGAAATCCTTCAGACTTAGCAGCCTTGAGCTCCAGGATACTGTGGAACCCGATAGTCTGTGAGGTCACACATGGAAACAAGGTAGGGGGCAGTTCCACAGGGAGGGGGGCAGGGCCTGGTGTCTGTGGGCAGGGATGAAAAGGGGACACTGGCCGCCCTGAGGATATCGGCTCTCCACTCACTCCCTTTGGTTCTGCAGTGCCTTCTTCCCTCCTTGTGCACTGCAGCCTGAAGATGGTAGGATACTAACCGGGATTCTAAAGTTGCATGTGACAACAAAAAAACCTAAATCAGCTTAAGTGAGGGGCACCTGGCTGGCTTGGTGGCTCAGTCAGTGGAGCATGCAACTCTTGATCTCAAGGTCGTAAGTTTAAGCCCTACATTGGATGTGGAGATTACTTAAAAATTATATATATATGGGGGCACCTGGGTGGCTCAGTCGGTTAAGCATTGGACTTTGGCTCAGGTCATGATCTTGCGGTTCATGAGTTTGAGCCCCGAGTTGGGTTTTGTGCTGAGCGCTCAGAGCCTGGAGACTGCTTCATATTCTGTGTCTCCCTCTACCTCTGTTCCTTCCCCACTTGCACTCTATCTCTCTCTCTCAAAAATAAAGATTGAAAATACTTTTTTCATTATATATATAGCTTAGGTGAATTGGAAGTAGCTAGGGTAGCCAGAAAAATCTTGTGCTAAATCAAGATACCACATTAGGAAAGTATTGCTACTTATTGTATCATATAATATTATAACTCTGAAAATATAAACAAAGGTATAAACTTTTTAAGGAAAAAATCTTTATATTTTAGCAGTTTTAACTGCACATTTTTTCCTGTATTTTTATTTTGCACTGGGTCCCACAAATTATACAGCCTGCCCTGCCCTTTAACCCTCAGGCTCATGTACTGTATGCAGTCTGGTAATGAAGGGATTTTTAGGGACAAAAAGTCACATAAAAAGTTATACAGTAGAATTCTGAGTGACTCAGGCATATTAGTTTGTTAGGACTGCCATAAAAAATCACCACAAAATGAAAGGGGAGGGGCTTAAGCAATAGAAATCTACTGTTTTATAACTCTGGAGGCTGGAAGTCCAAGATAAGGGTGTCAGCCAGGTTGATTCTTACTGAGGCCTCCCTTCTCGGCTTGTAAATGGTTGTCTTCTCTTTATGTTTTCACATGATCTTTCCTCTGTAGGTATCTGTGTCCAAAATTTCCTCTTCCCATAAGGATACAAGTCATACTGGCTTAGGGCCCACCTTGAGGGCTTCATTTTAACTTATTGCCTCCATAAAGACAGGGCAAATAAAGCCACATTCTGAGGCACTGAGGATTAGGACATCAACATATAAATTTAGAGAGGGGGATACGATTCAACCTATGACAATAGGTAATGGCAGCCCATAAACCCTACTTGTCTAAAATATCTCCACAAAAACAAAAACAGAACAACAAAAACAACATATAAAACAACACAAGACTCACACCCTCAGCATAACCAAAAGACAGAAAATGTCCAATTTCAAATTACCAGTAAACAGAAAAACAAACACTAACCTTGGAGTGATGTGGAAATGGAGTCCATTGGGGGCCTTTTACCAGAGAGATTCCTCACCACACTCAGAATTAGTAGAAACCAAGGCCAGGGGAAATAGGCTAACTTTAAACTCAAGATGCACAACTACCTAACTCTTGACCCCCACTGCCCAATCCAGCAACTTTCCCCATCTCAATAACAAATCAGTGCTTCCACATGCTCGGGCCAAAAGCCAGGGTTCATCCTAGACTCCCCTTTTTCTATCTCACCACACATCCAATCCATGAGCAAATTTTCTCTGTTCAATTCTCCCACACATTCCCAAGTCTGGCCACCTTCCCCATCTCCATTGCTCCTGTGGTGGCCACACTAGCACCACTTTCCTTTCACTGCTGATGAAATTAGAAGCCAATGAAGTCCTCTTAACATTCTTCAGGCCACTGCTGAATCCCAATGAGTCCCACTACCAGAATCTTCACCACCTCCTCTCCCATTTACCCCTTTTCTTCCCGTCCATCTGCTCACATCACCAGAGGAACAGAAGTCAAGCTGCTTTGCAACCTAAGTGCACCCTATGGCACTTACCTTTAAGTAATCATTAGATTTTCTCTGCCTCATTTCTTTTATTTCCAGGCAGATTTGTTGAGCATCTAGGCATGAAGGAAAAACATTTATAATTATGTGGTCATCCAAGTCTAGAGCAAGAGTCAATAAACTTTTTCTATAAAAAGCCAAATAAAAGATATTTTAGGCCTGGGGTGCCTGAGTGGCTCAATTGGTTAAGCATCTGACTGTTGATTTCAGCTCAGGTCATGATCCTGCAGTTCCTGAGGTCAGGCTCTGTGCAGACAGTGTGGAGCCTGGTTGGGATTCTCTCTCTCCCTCTCTCTGTGCCCCTCCCCACCCCCCTTCTATCTCTCTCTGGAAATAAATAAACATTTATTTTAAAAAAAAGAGGGGGCGCCTGGGTGGCGCAGTCGGTTAAGCGTCCGACTTCAGCCAGGTCACGATCTTGCGGTCCGTGAGTTCGAGCCCCGCGTCAGGCTCTGGGCTGATGGCTCAGAGCTTGGAGCCTGTTTCCCATTCTGTGTCTCCCTCTCTCTCTGCCCCTCCCCCGTTCATGCTCTGTCTCTCTCTGTCCCAAAAATAAATAAATGTTGAAAAAAAAATTTTTTAAAAAAAAGAAAACACTTGGGGCAGCTGGGTAGCTCAGTTGGTTAAGTGTCCGACTTCAGCTCAGGTCATGATCTGGCAGTTCATGGGTTTGAGCCCCATATCGGGCTCTGTGCTGACAGCTCAGAGCCTAGAGCCTGTTTCAGATTCTGTGTCTCCTTCTCTCTACTCTCCACTCGCGCTCTGTCTCTCTCTCTCAAAAATAAACATTAAAAAAATGACAAAAAAGAAAAGAAAAACTGATGGTTACCACAGGGGAGATGGGTGGGGGGCTGGGTGAACTAGATGATGGGGATTAAAGAGTACACTTATACAATAATAATAATAACAGAGAAATTTTAAAAGACCTAATACAGGAAGAGACATACTATGCTTATGGATCAGAAAACATTATGTTGTTAATATCAATTACCCTCAAATTGATTGATAGATTTAATATAAAACCAATCGGGCACCTAGGTGGCTCAGTCGGTTGAGCGTCCAACTTCGACTCAGATCATGATCTTGCGGTCTGTGAGTTCGAGCCCTGCATCAGGCTCTGTGCTGACAGCTCAGAGCCTGGAGCCTGCCTCAGATTCGGTGTCTCCCTCTCTCTCTGCCCCTCCCCCATTCATGCTCGCTCTCTCTCTCTCTCTCTCTCTCTCTCTCTCTCTGTCAAAAATAAATAAACATCAAAAATTTTTTCTTAACCAATCAAAATCCCACCAGGCTTCCTTGGAAAAATGGAAGATCTGGGACTCCTGGATGGTGCAGTCAATTGAACAGCTGACTCTTGATCTTGGCTCAGGTAATGATCTCACAGCTTGTGAGTTCCAGCTCCCCACATCGGGCTCTGCATTGATGGCGTGAGGCCTGCTTGGGATTCTGTCTCTCCTTCTCTCTGCCCCTCACCTGCTTGTGCTCTCTCTTTCTCCAAATAAATAAACTTTAAAAATTAAAAAAAAAAAAAAGAAAAAGAAATGGAAGAGCTAATCTTAAATTGTATGGGAATCAAAGGACCTAGATTTTTTTTTAATTTTTTAATATTTATTTATTTTTGAGAGAGAGAAAGACAGAGCATGAGCCAGGGAGGCTCAGAGAGAGAGGGAGACACAGAATCTGAAGCAGTCTCCAGGCTCTCAGCTGTCAGCACAGAGCCCAATGCGGGACTCGAACCCACAAACTATGAGATCATGACCTGAGCCAAAGTCGGATACTTAACTAACTGAGCCACCCAGGTGCCCCAAGGACCTAGAATTTTAAGTGGTTCAGAACAACTTGAAAAAGAAGAATAAAGGACTTACATGACCTAATTTCAACATTCATAAAACTACAGTAAATAAAAACATGCAGTATTGGCACATAGATCAATGAGCGAAATAGAAGGTCCAGAAATAAATTCATATATATAAGGTCAATTGACTAATAACAAAGATGTTAAGGCAATTCAACGGAGAAAATATATTCTTTTCAAAAAATAATATTGGAATAATCTGATAGCAATATGTGAAAAATATGAACCTCAACCCTTACCTGATGCCATGTACAAAAATTAACTCAAAATGAAACAGAGACCTAAACATAAGAGCTAAAACTTTAGAACTTCAAGAATAAAATATAAGAGAAATTCTTACTGACTTTAGGTTTGGACTTGATCAAAATAAAAAAAATATATACATTTGCTCTTTAAAAGACACTGTTACAAAAATAAAAAAGATAAGCCATACATTGGGAAACAATAACTGCAAAACATATAATCTGCAAAGGACTTGTATTTAGACTACATAAAGAACACAACTTAATAAACAGACAATCAATTTAAAAATAGGACTGGGACAAAAAGAATGAAATCTTGCCGTTTGCAACTACGTGGATGGAACTAGATAGAGGGTATTATGCTAAGCAAAATTAGTCAGTCAGAGAAAGACAAATATCATATGATTTCATTCATATAAGGAATTTAAGATACAAAACAAATGAACATAATGGAAGAGAAGCAAAAATAATATAAAAACTGGGAGGGGGACAAAACATAAGAGACTCCTAAATACAGAGAACAAATAGAGGGTCTGAGGGGTTGTGGGAGGGGGGATGGGCTAAATGGGTAAGGGGCATTAAGGAACCTACTCCTGGAATCATTATTGTACTATATGCTAACTAACTTGGATGCAAATTTAAAAAAAAATAAATTTTTTAAAAATTTTTAAAAAATAAAAATGGGATTTTTTCTTTACTGAAGAAGACATATGGATGACAAATGAGCACATGAAAAGATGCTCAACATTATTAGTCACTAGAAAAGTATGCATTAAAATTGTTAGGAAGGCTAAACGTTTTGTTTTTTTTTTAATGTTTATTTTTGAGAGAGAGAGGGAGAGAGAGACAGAGAGACAGAGTGTG